GGCCTATGGCGGGACCATCATTCCTCCTGGCACATAAACTGCCTGGAAATGTTGGCGGTCTCCCGGGCTCTGAGGAGCTTCCTGCCGGACCTCAGAGGTCATCACGTCCTCGTGAGGTCAGACAGCATGTCAGTGGTGGCCTATATAAACCATCAGGGGGGCCTGAGGTCTCGCCCTCTATGCAGACTGGCGCATCAGATCCTCCTGTGGTCCCAGGGGAAACTGTTGTCTCTGAGAGCAACATACATCCCGGGAAGTCTAAATCAGGGAGCAGACGTCCTGTCGAGACAGGGGCTGAGGCCCGGGGATTGGAGACTTCACCCCGAGGTGGTGGAGTCGATATGTCAGAGGTTCGGCCCTGTGGAAGTGGACCTGTTTGCGTCTCGAGAGACGACCCACTGTCCGCTGTGGTTTTCCCTCACCCCTCCAGCCCCACTGGGGCTGGATGCTATGGTGCAGACGTGGCCGAGGCTGCGTCTGTATGCATTTCCCCCGATCGCTCTGCTCCCGGGAGTTCTGGAAAGGGTCCGTCGCGACGGGATCAGTCTACTGTTGGTAGCCCCGTTGTGGCCGGCCCGAGTATGGTTCTCGGACATAATATTGCTCCTAGACGGCCCTCCGTGGGAGATTCCCCTCAGGAGGGACCTGCTGACACAGGCGGGGGGCTCAATATTTCACCCTCGGCCGGAGTTATGGAAACTGTGGGTCTGGCCCCTGAGGGGGCACAGTACCTAGAGGCCGGCCTGTCAGCTGGAGTAGTGGAGACCATACTCAGCTCTAGAGCTCCCTCCACGAGGAAACTGTATGGTTTAAAGTGGAATGTGTTTATTGATTGGTGTAGGAGGCGTGAGGTTGACCCAGTTAACTGCCCAGTGGCTTCAGTGCTGGAGTTCCTCCAAGATCGCTTCTCCTCTGGTCTTACCCCGTCCACGCTCAAGGTGTACGTGGCTGCCATTGCGGCTTTCCACGCTCCGTTGGGTGATGGGTCTCTGGGGAGACACCAATTGATCGTACGTTTCCTCCGTGGAGCTTGGAGGATGAGACCTGCGGCTCGTACCAGGGTTCCCTCTTGGGACCTGGCAGTAGTTCTAGAAGGATTGGCTGAGGCCCCCTTCGAGCCACTGGAGTCGGCTGAGGCCAAGAACCTAACGCTGAAGGTCGCTTTTCTGTTGGCCATCACTTCTCTGAGGAGGGTGGGAGATCTTCAGGCGCTCTCCATATCTAACGAGTGCCTGGAGTTTGCTCCAGGCAACATTAAGGCCATCCTTCACCCTAGGCCTGGCTATCTGCCTAAGGTGCCATCTAATGTGGCACGGCCTACGGTTCTGCAGGCATTTCATCCCCCACCTCACCTGACGGCGGATGAGGAGAGACTTCATAGGCTCTGCCCTGTCAGAGCACTAGGGATATATATTCAGAGGTCCTCTTCATGGCGGAAGGCGGACCAGTTGCTGGTATGTTTCGGGTCGCCCAAAAAGGGGTTTCCGGCCTCAAAACAAACCATCAGCAACTGGATTGTCAATGCGATTTCCACAGCTTATCAGGTGCGCGGTATGCCTTCACCTTTGGCTGTGAGGGCCCATTCCACTAGAGGCATAGCATCCTCTAGGGCCCTTCTCGCAGGGGCCCCCATCCAGGAAGTCTGCGATGCAGCTGGATGGGCTACCCCACATACCTTCATTAGGTTTTACAGCTTAGACATTCCGTCGACACCCGGCTCTCTTGTGCTCGCGTCCTGAGTGTGCCTGTGAGCAGCTTCACACCAGGACAGGCAGGGCGCGTTGTGGCGTAGTGGGTACTCGTTCCCCCAAAGTGTCACTTGGACGCAGTTTGAGTTCCCTCGATAGGGAACGTCCTCGGGTTACGACTGTAACCCTTGTTCCCTGAGAAGGGAACGAGAACTGCGTCTCGTGGCCACGCCTTCCCCTGCCTGGGAGCGCTTGCTTCATCACAGAAGCTGACATGTTGTGTGTGCCGGTTCCTTATATATGCTTCCGCCTATGTGTCGTCACACATCACGTCATCACGTTGATCCAATCGGAGATTGGCTTAGTTTCATTCATGCTTCAGAGACGCTACGCTGAGGGGCGTTCCCCCAAAGTGTCACTTGGACGCAGTTCTCGTTCCCTTCTCAGGGAACAAGGGTTACAGTCGTAACCCGAGGACGATTTACATAATACGTAAATACGCATGTAGAAATGTAAAAATATAGCATGTATCTTATAATTGTGTCTTATAAATGATTATACTGCTGTTAAAAAGCTTACAATGTTTCTGCGTCCATAGTCATAACTGTGTTTAAAAGGTTCTGGTGGGTGTGCTTACAGTAAAACGAGGCGCAGACCGAATGTTATGTCTACTCACTCTTGTTCTGTCTGGATTATTCTTCATCACTGGCGGCGGTCATGTGTGTGTCCCAGCAGTGGCAGTGGACATCTGTCATCAGCACACTTACACACGCTCATGTCTGGAACCCCTCTCTTTGCCACATCAACACACATACCATCTCGGTTCATAGGCGTAATGTTTTTTACTGAGCCAATGATATGCTCTATCGCATAACCCTACCTCTAAACACAACCCTTACAGAACACATTTTCACATTTTCCACAAAAAAAAAAACATTTGTATGTTTTGTAAGTAGCTTTCCTAGTGGGGTCATTTAAAAATGTCAGATTTTACTATCTTTGTGTTGATATCACAATGTTAAACAAGAACACACACTCCTTTATCACTTATAAAGGCTTATGAAAAAACTCCACTCCAAGAAACACTAGACAACAATTGTTTGATCATTTCTCATTTCAAAAAAGCCAGCTCTCTGCAGATGAACTGACTGAAAAGCTTCAAGATACAAGAATTTAATTTGGGGTACAGTTTAAAACCTCTGATCTGTGTGTTATTATATTTATTCCAAGTTTCTCATCTTGCTGTCTGTATCTGTGTTTTGTTTATGTATCTATTTTTTTTTAGATAATTTGTTTTGATTGCAATTTTATTACAAGAATCAGTGGCCTGGATCTGGGTTTACTGTGAAAAAACCTTTGTATGTGATCCTATCTATGAAAAATCAATTAAAAAATCCCCCCCCCCCCCCCCCCCAAAAAAAAAAGCTTGGTAGCCAGTCAACCGTTCTCTGAGATTTGTTTTCATGATAATTGAATGTAAAGAGTTTTATCTCTAAAAACTGTTTAGATTATAACGCTAGTATATGGGGGCATTTAATAAGTAAAAAGAAATCGCTAGTTTATACCACTAACAAGGCTCAAAATAGCCCCACACTAACACAGTTACATAATGAGGGTCCATATGCAAAACGAAGCATTGAGAACTTTGTAAGTGTACAGACCGTTTAATAAGAAGATATTTTATAAAGACAGTTTTTTTATTTATTTTTTTTATTGTTGCTCAAAAAAAAACTACAAAATACCAACAAATATCAAGATACAAATCTTAGATGATTACAAAACAGTCCAAATAGCAGCACAAAAAAATACATGAACACCATAAATCTAAAAAAAATAAATAAAAATAAAATTAGAAAACAAAAACAAGTAAGAACACATAAATAAACAAGTAAATAAAAAAAATATTACACAAGGGGGGAATCATCAAACAAAACCTTCAGAAGATTAAATAATTTAAGGGCTTTTTTGTTATGCACCAGTCTTAAAGCTTTGAAGAAGATCATTAAATCTTTATGGAAGAGACTGAAAGTGGGAGGGTTCTTAAAGAATCTGCATTTGTGTATGAAGTAATTGGCCAACAGCACAATATTGTTCACCAAAAATTCAAGATCGTAACTCAAAGACAAAGACAAATACTTTATAGTTTTAAAATTAAAGTCAGGTATTTCATATTTCAAACTTAACCAATTATAAAGGTCATCCCAGAATTTCTTTGAGAATTTGCATAAAAAAATAAATGTTCCAACGACTCTATATCCGCTTCACAAAAGGTGCACTCATTACAATCCATATTAAATCTGTCTATTAGGAAAGCATTACAAGGATAAATATCATTAATAATTTTAAACTGAACCTCTTTTACCTTTGGAAAAAGAGGAAATGTAAGAAATCTTGTTCTAATTTGACCCACTTTGTCTTTTGGGAAATCAAATACAAGAGGTCTTTTTTTAACTTTACAAGGGAAAGTCTCTACATTTACTAATGTTCTTAACACTTTAATCTTACAGCCTTCCTCTGCAAAATCAAGACCAGAGATAATTAAAGTTTTCATTCTCGGAATCACAGGTGAATAACACAATGCACCTTTGACCAACTGAACCAATAAAGACAGTTCAATTCGTGGATACAGGCGGCGCCATCTTTGGAAAACAGTCACGACAAGTCGAACCACGAACGTCGTGCTGTGTGAGCTGAACTGTATGAAGTTCAACGAACTTCTGAACTGTATGAACGGCGTTCGTGGAGTTTTCTCCTGCCTGTATACACGAAGTGGGCTGTCTTTATAAAGTATCTTCTTATTAAACGGTCTGTACACTTACAAAGTTCGCAATGCTTTGTTTTGGATGTAGGGACCCTCATTATGTTACTGTTAGTGTGGGGCTATTTTGAGCCTTGTTAGTGGTATAAACTAGCGATTTCTTTTTACCTAGTCAATGTCCCCATATACTAGCGTTATACACTAAACACTTTTAGAGATAAAACTCTTTACATTTGATTTATCATGAAAACAAATCTCAGAGAATGGTCGACAAGGTACCAATGTTTTATTAGACCTGCATTTCCTGGATCATAAGCTGTTAGTGTGTAAAAATATCTATGTCAACTTGGAAAAATCACAACATGGAAATGTCACATTAGCAATAAAGTTGCCCATGAATTGTTAGTTATTCTCCTGTCTTTTGCACAAGTTCTGCTGTTTCTTGTGGTTCAAAGTGGTTCTCTCCAGGCCATGTTGACTGAACACAAACACACTGACAAGAGTGTGATGAGAAGCAGTGGTCTGACAGAAGCACCTCCCCATCTCTGTTTCAGATCCGTTTCCCCCAGAGACCCCACAGAATGCCAGAGCCGGAAACCAGACCCTTCGCCCCGACGGCACGGTGAGCGTCCTGGTCCTGTGGGAGGCCCCCAGCGAGAGTGACCTGAGGGTCCACCATTACAAGGTGACCTGGATCCCTCGAGGAACACAGCCAAACAGCCAGAGCCGGGCCGGACGGGTCACAGATGGGGTAAGCCCTCCTGAGCTCAGCCCTTTGTCTAACCCCTCTGCTGGCATATTCACTCAAATACTGTGCATACCTTTATATCTCTGCTAAATTGTGAACCTGTAGGGGGTTGCGTTCAGTGTTTATGTATGTGGAAAGTTCATTTCAGAAGAATGAAGAAGAAAACGAAGCCAGACCGAGGCTGCGGATAGAGGCCAAAATCTTGTTGAGGCTGTCGAGGTTAGAGCACAATTCTTACCTTTCCCTCATAAAGTTGAACCTGAACCCTCAGAGAGGGAGAGATTTCCCCAAGTTGTTTTTCTTGGTTTCAGCCTTGGAATGTCAGACCCAGGAAGTGCTAAATCTGCAACCGAGTTTGAGGATTTAAGCATGTGTTTTCAGCGGTCAGCCGCGCAGGTGTTGGACTCGCGTGCCCCACCTGTGATGTAGTAAAGCGCTAGAGCCAGTTAAGTCGGTTCCCCACAACGACCGCAAAACAAAGACGCAGCTGGCCTAGTGATCAGCGTATTTTATTGTAGTCCAAGCGCTTCTCTGAAAGCCACAGCTCTCTCAAATGGTTTTGATTAGGTAATTTGTTTTTACAATGCAATAACCTCTATGTCTGAGAAAGCAATCTATTTTATTGAACAGTAGCCTATAAAGACCCATTTCAGCTGACAGATTTTTGTTCTCAGAATGGATCTCTGCAAGCGTTTAAGAGTTATTGAGAGTAATAGCAAATGTCAGATCATTTTCAAACTGTCTGGAATTAAGAATCTATTATGTCCAAAAAACACAACTTAGTTGAAATTAAATGCACAGTGGCCCTATATGTCTGTTATTGTAGAATTTAAGAATGACAAAAGTGTGGCTAATTTAATAGCACTATTTGTCTCTCGTATGCACAGGAACTACTCCATTTGTACTCTTTATTTGACAGATTACAGTTATAGATGAAGATAGCATGATGACTTATTCAATGTGACTTCCTGCACAAAACCATCGTACATTTTTAATGGCTTCATAGCAAAAAATATCTCTCATTATTGTACATGTTCTGTGTGATGGAGATGTCAGTCAAAAACCCCAAAATGGAACTGAGGTATGGTGGCCAGTTCATAAACATGACTCCTGTACTGGGGAGGCCAGCTGGGCCACACATGTTTTCAAATAAAAACGGGTGAGCAGGGTGTATAGAGGCTGGAAACGTGTTCCACCACAGAAGAACACAGAGTATGATGGTTCGAGTAAGCAACTTTGTTCCTCATAGTAATGGTACCACCAGGCACTACTCACTGATGGCACTGTCAGAGACTTGTATTTGAGCAGCCTGTTGTGCAGTTTGTAGTTAATGACTCATATTAGCACAGAGGCCCTTCGCATAGTAATTATGATTTATATTAAATAAGTGTTTTGGATTCTGGTTGACCTAACTAATGCAACATAATCATGTGTTTAGGTGATGAATTGGTGTACTCTTGAGTAAAGAGATGGGTCTGTAGTCTAGACTGAGACTGACAGAGTGTGTCTGAGTCCTGAACAATGCTGGGAAAGCTGTTGCAGAGATTCAGAGCCAAACATTAAATTGATCTACCTCCTGCAGAGAAGTTTGATACTCTTGATGTTATTAAATGACCAAAATGAACATGGTGGACTATAGTGTGATTTGAGCTCACTTAGGTTCTAAGACCATTCAAAAACTTGTAAGTAACTAGAAGAATATTGAAATGTAAATGAATATAGTGACAATAAGATTGATTGATATTTCTTTGTTTTAGCTGCTGCAAGTATAACCTGAAATGTATTTAATAACCCAGAGCGCATTACAGTAATCTAGTCTTGAGGTCATGAATGCATGAAATAGCTTTTCAGCTTTAGAATTCAAAAGCATATGCTATAACATATAATTATTTATATGATGGAAGAATGCTGTTCTTGAAATGTGACTAAACAATAGAGTGCTACTTTACTTTTATGTAAGTTTGTGTTCCTTTAATTCAGCAAAGATGTCACGCTGTGACGTATCAATATTCTGCTCCTCATATGTCTTCATGTGATATGAATTTGCATGTCAATGTTCACTAATTCGAACTTTGGAACATAATGAAATACAAACCTTGTTCACATAAGCTGAGTATCACTGACATAAAAATGAAAACGAATTCCATGTGTACTGATCTCCAAAAGGACGCATATACAAGGAGAAAAGCAGAGGACCTAACACTGAGCCCTGTGGCACTCCATATTTTACTTGTGTTTGAGTTGACATTTCTTCGTTAAAACAAACAAAGGGGTAACAGTCAAATTAACCAGACTTAAATCATGCCAATACTATTAGTAGGTATACTAATGTAAACCAAAATCTAAATCCTATCCAAAAACATGTCATGATCTATGGTGTCAAATATAGCATTTAGATCCAGTAGTACTAGAATTGAGATGCATGTGATAAAAGCATTTAATTTGTTTATTTGTAATTCTTAATGTAATAGGTGCAGTCTTTGTACTGTGTTGGGCCTAATCCGGAGATTTAAAAAAAATAATAATAGTTAGGAGCACCCTTATTAACATATTACTTATTTTGGAATGTTTGACATGCGTTGGAGATTTGAGATAAGTCTGTAACTAATTTCTCCTGGATTAAGCTATACCCTGCGTCCCAATTCGCTTACTTATACTACGCCCTAAAAGTATGTACTCTTCTTGTACAAAAAGTACATACTTTTGAGTGTGTAGCAAAAGAGTAGGCAAGCTTTGGGACGTACTATCACGTCATCTTTAACGGACAGCTCTGTTGCGTGCTGCGTGCATCCGGTCACCATAAACTGGCCTGTCAATCATCTCGTCACAGTTAAAATCCTTCATTCAATCTAATTTGATTTCCTACCGTTTCGGAGCACGTTCATCTGCCAATCGTGGGTCTTTAATGCGGATACTTTCCTCGTGTTTTGCTATTTGAATATAATGATGCTTTTAAAAAGTAATGGCTAAACGTATCCTTACAAAAGTTCACAATGCTGCTGCAGATGCAATATAATGTGGAGAACATTGAATAAATTATTTTCGTTAGGTTAGATAGTGATAATTAATCACTCAAACCTCTTTATCTAAACCTCTCAACATAACCGCGGGACTCGCGCGACCTCCGTATCTGTAACACTTTTTACTCGTGTTTGTAGTTCTCTAACCGAATCCTCGTCCAACGCACAATGGTTTGTGGGAAATATCAGCCGTAAGAGTGTGCATCGATCTACACTTCGGATTCTGACCGGAAAAAGTAGACCATCCGGGTATCTTTCAAACACTCATTTCAACATACTACGGTTTGGGATGCACTAATTCTATTTTCGAATACTATTTAGGACGGATAGTATGCGAATTGGGACGCAGCGATCTTAGTTTCTTGATTAAGAGGTTTGATAACCAGCTTAAAAGTTTTTGGGACATGACCTAAAGATAGAGATGAGTTAATAGTTTTGAGAAGAGGTTCTGATATTAAAGAAAATTCCTCTTTTAGTCACTTGTTGGATATTGGACAGGGCTCTTCAATTCCAGACCTGAAGGGTCATTGTCCTGCTGAGTTTAACTCTATCCCTAACCAAACACACGACGATCAAGCTAATCAAGGTGATCAGAATTCCTTGAAAAATAGGGTACTTTCACACTAGCACTTTTAGATTGACATTAGAGTTGGGGTTATTTGGATGTTCTCACTCACTTTCCTGACAAGCGTGACTGACAAACTGCAAGCAGAGAGAATGTCACCTTCAGCAGACATGGATTTGAACATTTGCAGTAAATTGGTGGCAGATAGACGAAAGCCTTGTTATGTGCTGACGCTTAGAAAACAAAATCAAAGGTTCAAAAACCAAAATATAAAAGTGAGATGAGCATTTTTTTTGCTGACTTCTGCCTTCTGGGCAGCAAAATAGGCCAAATTTACAGGCAACTGGGTTGCTGCTGCTTTGATGACGCAAACGGATCATTGCTCGGATCCAAATAATAGAATTTGAACAAAATGAACTCGGGTTTTTTCGGACCAGGCAACAGGGATTGGACAAACTATCATTAGAGAGGTATATATGTCATTAAAAAGATGTAAGTCTGGTGCCTACTGCAAAACGTCTCAGGTTATGTCTGTAACCTATGTTCCCTGAGATCAGGGACCGAGACACTGTGTCAGAACGCTATGGGGAATGCCTCCATGTGAACCGTTGTCTGAAACACTTATCTTATCACTGCAATCCTATTGGCTGGCGACAGCCTATGACATCATCACTAGTGTGACCCGGAAGTATATAAGGGGAGCCTGGAGAACATGCCAACAGCTTTTTCGTCTTCAGGGACTGTTTTGGTTGTACACTTCAACCTAAAAACTTCAAAAAGGTAATCATGGCTTGTGAAAAATGCTTCATCCGTATCTAAGATATTGATACTTGATGACACACAACTTGTGTGTTTATTGTTTGGGCTCAGAGCATGCACGATCAGTTCCTGAGGGACCTGCTTGTGCCACCCTTGAGAAAACTCCACCCTTGTCTGCTCTCTTCTCAAGGGATGATGACAGACATCTGTACCAGTCGATTCAGGTCCTGCTCGCACTGAGGCAGAGCAGAGACTGGAATCGTGGGTTTTTTTCAGAGGAGGTTGAGAGAGTTGTTAACCTCTCACGCCCTTCAGAGACTCACGAGAGTGAGCTGCAGGATAAGGATGTTGTCACTAACATCCTCTGATCCAGCAGCAAGTGCTCTGCTGTGTATAGAAACAACCAGCCCAAGAGAGCAGGAGATGGCTGATGAGGATGAAGAGGATATACAACCCAGCACCACGTATGTTAAGCTGTTGAGTGTTATGGAAGGCACTTCAGTGAGGCTTCTGCTGTCTTTGGACCGCGTGAGGGAAGAGTACGTTCGTGACAGACTTGACGAATGGTTTCTTTTCAGCCATAAAGCTCCTGCTTTCGTGAGTCTTCCATTCCTGCAGGATCCACACAATGAGATCGGAAAGGCATGGAAGAACCCGTATTAAGCGCGCATTCATCGCCATCAGCGAACTACGCGAACTGCGCGAACACAGGTATGTGGCGATCCCCCAATTGACGAGATATCCGCAAACGATCTCACGGCTGGAGAGGCATCGACACTAATGGCTCGTTTCCACTGAGTGGTACAGTACGGTACAGTTCGGTTCGGTACGCAATTATTTGCGTTTCCACTGTCAAAAGTTGTGAATGGTACCAAAAAGCCGAACCGTACCGTACCACTTTTTGGGTACCCTTTCGTTAGGGTACCTAGCACAATGAAAGGGTACTAAAAGGTGGAGCTAGACTCACTGCAGAACGCTGATTGGTGGATAGAGTATCGTCACTCGCGCGTGCTACAAGGGCATTAGAAGCATATAGCTGAAATATAATTCTACTGTTATTTTGTCACGAAATGTAGTTTTAAGACTTTTTCAGGCGAGAAAGTAGTTTTTTAAAAATCAAATCTGTGGTTTATTTATAGATTTTTGATAATTTGACTGAGATCCATTCCAAGCAAACACCGTACGCTCGCGCTCGTGTACCCCGCCTGGAACAGCATTTCCTCGGCTAGTCGTTCTGATGTTTGCCGCTGACTCGGACGTCTCTGTAGTGGTTAAACATGAGATATAGTTCGTCTTGTATAAACCTAACAGGTGATCTTTGGTCTCGTGAATCTATAATTCGTTTCCTGACCAATAGTTTTGGCAGAATTCAGGCTACGTGAAGTAACTGAAGTTTCATCTTTGAGCGCTGAATTTGTATATTTGACTGACTGAATTGTTTCTTGATATTATTTAAGCTTTACTGTATTTTGTACCTTTTACGTATACTTTTATAATGGCTATTATTGATAAAATTGAAATTCAACAAAAAGAGATAGTTTTGTCATTTTTTATTTATTTTATTATATTTATTATTTATTATATTACAAGATCATCTGTAATGTTGTTTATTGCAACATTTGTAATGCGATATGCAATACATTACATTAGATATTGCCTGGAATATGTTTAATATTTTTAAATTTAAACGAAAAGAGGCAGGGTTGTTTTATAATTAGTTTTGTTATAAATATATAACGTTACATACATGCAGTGATAATCTATGCGTTGCCTGAACCACATTTATGTGCTTTAGAATGTTTAAAATGTATTGAAATGAAATCGAAAAGAAGCAGAGTGTTTTTTTATAACATATTTCGTTTTATTGTTGCCTAAAATGAACATACAGAGATAACCGGAGTCATAGAGCCAGAGCGAGCTGAGTGCCGCGCTCAAGAACGCGCTGTTCCATTAGCAGAATTACTTTACTTGCGTCCTCGGGATCATTCTCCTGAGTCGGACTTTGCGTTGGCTTCTTGGAAACGCCTAATGCCAGCGCTTGTTTCTAGTGACAAACATGCCGCGAAGCAAGAACAAGATCTGCTGCTGTCTGTCATCCATTGTTGTTTACTATGCCGCTTTCTTCGCGCGAAAATGACGTCGATCGCTTCTTTCCAGCATACCACACCCAGTAGGGTACTGTTGGCGGTGGAAACGCAAGCCTGATCATGGTGTACCCGACCCGTACTGTACTGTACCGTACCGTACCCCTCAGTGGAAACGAGCCATAAGTGCTCCGGGCCTGCCTCTTAGGCCACTTAAATATGACAGCACGTTTAAATGGCAGGGCATATGCGGTTGTGGCTCTGGCTGGTGATGCCTTGCACACAATGGTGGTGTTGCAAGCATACCAGGCTGATCGGCTGACAGATTTGAAGCATTTAAATCTCTCACCCCAAGCGCTTCTTGCATCAGCCTGAGGCTGGACCTATTATGAGTTATTACTTCAATTTGGAACCCTTCTGTAGGTCTGGTGTCGGGTTTGGTAGTAAGTGCGTTCTTTCGTGCTTTTATGGTGGTAGGCCTCCGTTTTTTGAATGTCGTTTAGGCCATCACTCTACAGCTCTGTAGTTCTTCTCCCTTTACATTAGTGTTTAGTAAGGTTCCCTGTTAGGAAGTATTAATGGGGTGTTAAATATGGTTTTCATAGGATGGTAAAATGAGGGCCCAGAAGTTCCCTTATATAGATAGGCTATGCATACCCTTCGCATAGTCCTCCTCTCATGTTAGAGTAGTCAGGCTTTTATAACGGGTAGTGCCAATCGGTAGCAGTGAACAGTTTGGCTGAATGGAAAATTCTCTAGTGAGGCCACCGTTCATCGGAGCACCTAATAGCCATTTTTTGGGTGAGATGGCGTCCTCCCTATGGGGAGTTATTCTACTGAGGCACTGCTCTGTCAAGCTCCAGATAGATCTACAAGGTCAAGCTTTGGCCCTCTTTGGGCCACCTTGATAGTCACCTTAGACTAGAGCAGCAGGTCTTCAATTTCGAAAAGGAACTCAATTTTGCATGTTTTAAGGTTTTAGCATTACCAAAATCTGGCGAAATGTCATGTGCAAGAAAAGGTCCATTGTTGTAATGTGTATTGTATAGCGATATATAAAGCACAGTTTACACTAAAGTCACTTTAAAACCGAAATGAAATTATGGTCGATGCCAGCAACCGATAAATCTTTAAATTTGAAAGCCGATATCCGATATATTGACCGATAAATCTAAACCCAATTTTTTTATTTAGTTCTTGAGAGCCGGGTTACAAAAACAAAAGTCTGACCATTTAAAATCCATGTCCCAAGCACACAATTATAATGATGTTTACATTTTATGTAGTCTATAGGACAGATGTGTGCTGCTAATGTTGCTTTACTGTATTTTCCTTTTTTGAAGTGATCATAGTTCACAAGCAATCATATTTCAAGCAATTCAAAACCATCATGTCGAACAGTGTGCATCTGAAGTGTCTCAGCTGAAGGAAATAATGCATTATTTATCGGCTTTAATATAAGATAGGAAAATCTGGCCGATGACATTAACATTAAAAATTAACATATATCGGCCGATACCGATATGGTGGCCGATATATTGTTTTAAACCAAGTGGCTTTCTGTTGGTCAGCGTGGAGAATCCTGCAAAGAACTTTAACCTGTTGCTAAATCTGCGTTGGGAAATCTATCACACTTGCGTGGATTCCTATTGAAATGCCTGGATTTCACCCCGCGAAAAATCACACAACATCTCTAAACGTGACCGCATATTTAGTGCTAAACCTTTACAATGCTAATGTCTTGTTTTTTATGTCCTGTAGGATGTAACGGAGATGGAGCTTCATGGTCTACAGCCCAGCACACACTACACCGCACAGATTCAGGCCGTCTCTTACTGGGGTCAGAATCGCCTGAAGAGCAGCCGAGCTCACCTCTCCTTCATCACCGCCTCGTCCTCCGGTAAGATCTGCTCTGACTTCTGCACACTTAAGGCCCATACACACCGGGCGCGCGTTATTCAACAAGTTTTTTGTGTTCACACCCAAGCGATTTTCGCTGACGATGAGCCGAGTGAACATGCTAATTCATTCGATTCATCCAATTTGCTCTGCAATACCACTCCATATCAGTTTTCTTTTATCAAGATGTTTGTTGTCCCTGTCGCTTTTGTCATATACACTCACATAAAGGATTATTAGGATCACCATACTAATACTGTTTGACCCCCTTTCGCCTTCAGAACTGCCTTAATTCTACGTGGCATTGATTCAACAAGGTGCTGAAAGCATTCTTTAGAAATGTTGGCCCATATTGATGGGAAAGCATCTTGCAGTTGATGGAGTTTTGTGGGATGCTCTATTGGGTTGAGATCTGGTGACTGTGGGGGCCATTTTTAGTACAGTCAAGTACATTCTGTCATGTTCAAGAAACCAATTTGAAATGATTCCAGCTTTGTGACATGGTGCATTATCCTGCTGGAAGTAGCCATCAGAGGATGGGGACATGGTGGCTGTAGGGATGGACATGGTCAGAAACAATGCTCAGGTAGACAGTGGCATTTAAACGATGACCAATTGGCACTAAGGGGCCTAAAGTGTGCCAAGAAAACATCCCCCACACCAGAGGTCACAAACTCGCGGCTCGCGGGGCCATTTGCGGCCTGCGGGGTGATATTTTGTGGCCCCCCACTTGACATTAAAGTTTAATGTGAGTGCGGACCGCCGTTGCGTTTGCCGCGTTTTGTTTTTTGTTTTGTTTTTCCTTATGGGCTACCAGATAGCCTCTTGACAGCTTACGGTGGGTTTGTTGCAATAGTTGTCATAGACAACCACGAAGTACAAACATATGTGCGCCTGGAAAAAATGAGCGCGTCGCTTCAATTATGAGCGCGCTTGATGCGCGGCTACGTTTGAAACAAACTTGAGCGTGCAAAATATGTGAGCGTGATATGTGAACAGGCCCAAGGCGAGCTTCTACCACCGAATCAGGCCACAGCTACTGTTAGCTCGTGAGCGACGTGTTGGCAGTGTTGGGGAGTAGTTAACTACAAGTAGCGAAGCTACTAACTTAACTACATTTTTCAGTAGCTTGGCAGTAGCTCAGTTGCTTTTTAAACAGTGTAGCTTTTCCAGTAGCTAACTACTTTTTGCAGCAAGTAGTGGTGTAGCGCGAGCAAAAGCTACATTGCTACATTGTCGAGCCTGCGTGAATCAGCCCGATGCAAGGATATTCTTCTTCTTGTTAGATTACAAACTCATTTTTTGCCATTACCGCCACCTGTTGTTTAATCACGCATCTTGCGGCTAACGGTTCACTGACGTAAAGAAGTGGGTTGACAGTGACACACCCATATTAGGGTGACGGCAGATTTTGAGGACAGAGAAACAAACGTTAATTACCCATGGTCTTATTTGTCCAAGTTCAATCGTTATTTTTGAGAAAATGTTCTAAATGCAATTTATGTTGAATGTATATTTCGTTCTTGCAATTTTGTAGGCTATTTGTTGCAATTTTGAACTTTTGACAAACAGTCTGAGATATTTGAGTGTTGTGTGTAATAAAACAATACTCTATGAAATCATAATTGTATTGCATTGTTTTAAAAACTAAATATTTGAATTAAAACATTCATCAGACACTTATTCAGTTATTTATAATATATGATTTATAACATCTTATAATAATAGGTAATATAATATTTATAATATGTTGTTCAAAAAGTAAAAGTAGTTTCAATGTAGCTAGCTACTTTTTGATAGTAACTTGTAGTGTAGCTAACTACTTTTCCAAAAGGGTAGCTTGACTGTAGTTTAACTACTTTAACGTACGAGTAGCTTGTAGCTTGTCAAACTACAGTTTCAGAGTAGCTTCCCCAACACTGCGTGTTGGATATCCCTGCTCTAAAACAATGTGAGAATAATCATTTTGAGCTTTTAATATGTGCTGTGTCTGAACGCGTTCAATGAACGATAGTTCATGAACTTGTTCATATTTTGGGCGAACGTGAACTGAACGTAGCCTACTGTATTACTGCCTGATGAACGTTACAGTGAACTCGTTCATTCTGGTGTCTGAGGAGCGAGGAGGCGTCATAAGATCATTTAAAAGGGTTTTATGAGGTTGGTGAGGATGGGAAAATCTTACATGTCTGTGCAAACTCTGTCCGTCGACAAAACAGTTGTTATCTGTGGTTGTATATGGGCTGTGGCAATAATAATAGCCTAATAATAAAAAAAGAAGCTCGCAGCAACATATGGAAAAAAAGAACTATGAACTAGTTCATTTTTTGAAGTATGAAATATGAACTGAACTAGTTCATTTTAAAATTTGTGAACTGAACTTTGATCCAACAGGTTGATAAGAAGGTTTGCTTTGATATGTGCAAAGTCAGTAATTTGACTGAGACACTATACATGTGTAGAAAGAATTATTTGTATTTCAAAAGCAATAATTGTTTTTCTAAGTATAATAAAAGGAAATGTGCCTTCCGAAAAAAGAAAAAAAAACATTCAATATAATAGTGTAAAAAGGGGCACGAAATCGACCCAAATCGCGGAATTCGATTCGTGGTGAAGGTTTCAAGCGTGTTCCGTCTTTTCCATGGCAAAGTGAATTTTAATTAAATGCAATACATTTAATCTTATGTATTAACTCGTTTCATCTGACTCCATAAAATGAAAAGGGTTTATCAATGATATCTGTGCATCATTTAGTAGTTAATGCTTGACTATTCCTTTTAACTCTAATGAAAATAAAGTCAAAGTCTGTTAGAATAGCCAAATATAACAATTTATTATGTCAGGTAAATGTATTATTACAATTCCACAAGATAATCAGAGCAAACCATCAATTGTTTTAGGACAAAGGAACTTTACCCAACATACTACATGAGCTGAGCCTTGAAGACACAACATCACGGGCTGATCTGAATACAGAAAGCAGCCATGAACTCTTGTGCATTTTCCTTAAATAGAGCCAAACCTTACCTGATCTAATCACCAAATTTACCTGATCCAATCACCAAACTACAATGGACTGAAACCCCCACCATGTTTACTGGGGGAAGGAGAGTTTGCATTCAGACAAAAGGTAGAAAGTGATTAACTCAAAGACACACCCTTTTGTGTGCAAGATATTTCTATATTCTTAAAAACCTTATTACCTTTTCTTTAACTTCTTTGGAAATGAGACATTATTACCAGTCACCCTGAGACTTTTGAAATGATTCTAAACAGTCCTTTAAGATTATCACATTCACATTAAAAACACATATTCTTGTGTGAGCTTCCTCTGCAAGAGTGTGTGTGTGTGTGTGTGTTGTTCAAGCAAGGTCCTCTTGTCTCCAGAAGACACTGGTCACTGATTATATCCACCAGTTCCAGTTTTCTAGTCTTACAGATTCCCTCCTTGACCCCAATGGGTCAGTTTCAGACACTTAGGGGTCACAGACACAGTAAGACGTTTGTTGTAATCCTAGGTGTAATTCAACAATTGTATCTTTGCAATGTTGGCATCTGTTGACGCTCAGAGGGCTTTGTTCACCAGCAGAACACCTGTTCTCATCAGGCATAAGTAGCATGAGTCCAGCAGGTGGATGAGGCGTTCAGGCTTTCTTCTGGTGATGTGAGCAAAGTTCATAGAGTCAATCTGGACTTTCAGTTGGCGTGTCGTTCCTTCATGAAGACACTCACGTTTTCCTGGCACCTTCCCCATAACGATAATCTGTCCCTTCTTGACCAATCCTGTCACCTCCAGCGGTGTGGTTGTCTGGACAGACCTCAGTGGGTGAACGGGCTCTCTGTGAGACATCTGAAAAGCATCTTAAATGTCCACTTCACAATTGAAACACATATGAACTTGAACTCATGAAGAAATGCATTAGAACGCAACAAAACAAAATCATGTCATGTTCAATGTAAACACCATGTTATTTTCAGCAAGTGTGCTCATATTTTTCTCAGAGTATTGAATGGTAAGGATGTCTCATATTAAATATCCAATTCAATCCAATATTTAAATATATATTTTTGGTCTGAATTCTAAAAAGGAAATGCAGCAAGAGGTCAGCGTACTCAAAACAATCAAATAGATTCTCTGACAAGAAGTCATGTAATAAAAACAATCAATGTTCAACAAATGAATATGTATATAAAGTGCAAGCCACTTTTGCAAATCTAGGAAGTGACTTGGAACATTCTTAAATGTATTCAAGAATGGAGATTGTTCATTCCTTACAACAGGTGTGAGAGTGTGTGTTTTTTCGTCTTGAGTGTGAGTTTGAGCATTTTTGTGAGAGAAAGAGAGAAGAGTGTGTGTGTGTGTGTGTGTGTGTGTGTGTTTTCCAATGTTTTTCCATGAGTTGGCAGAGTGTGGTGAATAGCGTGTGCTATGTCATGGGATCAGCTTCCCATCCTTATGTGTGTGAAGCTATCCGGATATGTAAATGTGAAGATGCACAATAGATCTTTAGTGAAGTGACACTATTGGACTCTATGTCATCTTCATCTTATGATGTGTAGTGTTCAGTCTGGATAGACTTGATCTATTCCATGTGATGATGTTGTGAGGGTGTTGTGATGGAGGAGTGTGTTCAGTCAGTGTTCATGTCTAGGAGATGGGTGGAATTCTACTGTATAACAATTGTGTTGCAAAATTTAGTTCCAGTTCTAAACTGGGAGGCCATCTAATGTAGTGATGTGTTGTTGTGAGATGTAAAGGCCACTTGAATTGTCTTTTCACCCATCTCCCGAATCTCAGGTTATGTTCAAACAATCATGGAGATCGGCCGTCCCGGCGTCCGTCCTCCGAGGAATTGCAGAAGTAAACCTTAGAGGAGGATCCCTCCTTGTAAATTCGCTTTCTTGGAAGGTTGGCAATTACCTGTGCCACACCTAAGAATTAAAACACACCTCCGCCCTTTTGGCACAGGGTATTAGGTCAACGAAATCCAACTGTAAGGA